GGCCGCTGCTCATCAAACCGACCTTAAGAAGCCACTCGTGGTGAGAGTTCAGTTTTACTATCAGTGCTAAAGTTCAGCAGGACCACCTCTAAATATTTGTAAATTTGTATTTCTCAGGTGCACCTTGATGGAGACTCAAAGGTCACACGAGTCTATAGATCCGATTTTTTTCACCACCTCAACATAGTTCAAGAAAAAAGAGAGATGTTCATGTTGAACGAGTCTGAAAGACTAGCCTGGTTCTCCTCCAGAGTAAGAAGACATTCTCATTCATCTTTAAAATGTTTCCTTTCCCACTAGAGACAGAATTATTGTTTATATTATTTTATTAATGCAGGCAGACCAGGCAAACTTCCACCTGCTTGGGATTCTGTGTGGACTGGCCTTATACAATGACAGCTTCATTCAATTACCCTTCCCACTGGTTCTGTTCAAAAAGCTGCTCGACATTGAGCCAACTCTAGAAGATATGATGGAGTTCAACGCAGGAGTTGGCAGGTGAGAAAATATTTAAATTCCCCTAAAAGACTGGATAAAATTATGACTACTAGATGATTCAATAACTTGTGATTTTGGATCTTTTTGAAGGCATCTGCAGTACATATTGGACTACGAAGATGACCTGGAAGACCTGTGTATCACCTTCGAGGTTGGTGATAATCTTAATTATTTTCTTCAGAGTTTTCATGCGATGTCACAAACTTCTTCACTCCTTACTTTCAGATTAACTGGGATGAGCGAAATGTTGACCTTGATCCTAGTAATCCAGGAAAGCTCGTCACAAACCAAAATAAGTAAGCCACTCAAACCAAAAAGGCTTCATTGTTAATTCAACCAAAGCAGTTGGTTAATTTTGAAAGTCTTCCTCCCAAACAGGAAGGAGTTTGTGGATGCCTACGTGAATTATGCCTTCAACCAGTCAGTGGAGGGCATGTTTCAGGAGTTCAAGCACGGTTTCTTCCTGGTGTGTGACCAGCAGCTGGTGAAGCTTTTCAGACCAGAAGAGCTGCAGGGAGTCTTAGTGGGTGGAGACGTCTATAACTGGGCGAAGCTCAAACAGGTACACTCATCTAAATGGTTTACATTTTCCACTGCTATGTTCTTTGAAATTGCAGCAATAAAACTCATAACTCTGGTTTACTCTACACAGAACACACAGTATGAGTGGATCAGTGACAGACACCCAACTATGCAGATGTTTTGGGACGTTTTTGATGAACTTACTGAAGAGCAGAAAAAAGATTTTATTTGTAAGTAACCTTCTATATTTTTCTTGTGTAATAGTTTTGACCTTTGGCAAACAAAGAGTCATTGATTCTTTAAAATTCAGTTGAGTTTATTTATATTGTTCTATAGCACAGTGAACAAATGTCTTAAGGGAAAAACATTTAGAAATCTTTTTAAAACACTTAAAAATCAACTTAAATTCCATGTTACCAATATTTTTTCAACATATCTCTGTGCAATCCACTCCTATTTAGTAGAATATGACAATGACAAGCTTTTCTGTTTAATAAACAGAAAAAGCTATTTAGCCCCACTTCCGATATCTTGTATCTCATTAAACCAGTGGCATGTATATTATTTTTGAACATATTGCCTTGTAGTTTGAAGACATGAAATGAAGAGAGCTCTGATAACTGTGAGGCAGGTTTTTATTTTTATTTGATTGTCTTTTGAGTGGATTTTTTTCTTTACGTCTTCCGCAGTATTTCTGACTGGGTTTCGGAAAGTCCCTGTTCTTGGCATGGACCAGATCAGGATGAAAATAAGAATAAAACAAATCCAGAGTGGCTCCCCTGATGAGCATTTCCCAGAGTCATTGACATGTCACTCTATTCTTGAGTTGCCGTTGTACTCGACCAAAGAGATCATGCGGGAAAGACTGACGGAGGCCCTGGAACCAGACAGAGGATTCAGGGCGTGAATCTATTAACATCTCACACACTAACTCAGGATAACATATTGCACATTTACACTAAACAAATGACCAGTTTTTTTTTTGTGATCTATTGCACTTTGTATTTTTATTTACACAAGCCTTTGATAAATAAAGTATTTTATTATTATGTGACATACAGACATGAAATTCAGAGAACATTTTATTTCCTTACATGTTTTTACATGTTTGGGTTGTCACTGCAACATTGAGCTTAAGGTGTTATTCTTAGTGTTGTTTCTGATGTGACTTTGTTCCCTTTCTGTTTAAATAAAGAGTAAAGAAGATGTATGTTGTATGTATGTATGTATGTTTTTTTTTTTTCATGAAACATTGACCAACATATTTAATGTGAATGATTTTGGTGATGGCAGTCATAAAAATGCAATGTTTGTTCAATTGTTGTCTGGTGTTTTTGTTCAGAAATGTGCAACACAAATCAACATGACTTGACTTAAACTATTCATATTATCTCTGAAATATACATTAAATGAATATTAGCCACCATAGCTACTCAATGGCAGGGAATCTGGCAATAATTTCATGTTTTAGAAATTGTAATAATTGCTTATGCTTTGTGATTTTTGATTTTCACATTTGTAACTGTATAAGAAACTACAATGGAGTTGAAAATAATTAAAGATTAGTGGTTATTGGAAAAATGGGATTTGGTTTGAGAAAAATATTTCATAAATGCATACAGCTTGCTGGTTACATTCCTATAATGTATTTATTAAAATACATTATTTATATTCAAATTATATCTATCTATCTATATATATATTTTAAAAAAAAATTCCCTTCTCACCCACCGCGGGTGGTTCTTATCCTCTGAGCTCGGGTCCTCTACCAGAGGCCTGGGAGCTTGAGGGTTCTGCGCAGTATCTTGGCTGTGCCAAGGACTGCACATTTCTGGACTGAGATGTCTGATGTTGTTCCTGGGATCTGTTGTAGCCACTGCTCCAGTTTGGGGGTTACTGCCCCGAGGGCCAAATGTGTAAAAAAAAAAAAAAAGTTTAAGACTCAAACAAAAACTATTTTCTTTGACTTCTCTTGCTGGAGAGAACAATAAACCACTAGATGGCGCTGTTATTCTGCTGTTGAACATACCGTGAATGGAAACAAAGAACAACAGGGATGAGATCATCATTTCAGACTGATGCAGCTTCAAAGTGTAACTTGCTTAAAATCTCTAACCTTCACCAATTGAGATGCAGAAGTTTAAATAAATGTAAAGAATTATAATATATTCGTAAATACCTAACAGCCCCTAATTTTATACAAATGCTACTGGAAATGTTGAATAGATGTTACAGTCTCTGTAACATACCAGATTTACCAGATTTGTATAAATACAGGGTGACTGGAGAGAAAGAAACTGTAAAGCTTAGAGAATCAAAACAAATATCAAACAATTATTTGAGATAAAATAATTGTAAATGATATGATATTTTGACTGCAATGAAATCTCTATTAAACATCTCAGTACAACGATGATCATAATGTTTAACTTAAAGAAGATGAAAGATGAGCATGGATGCTACTCTTGACAAAGGACGGCCAAACATGATCAGAAAGGCAAATTACATTTGAAAACAAAATATGAAATTACCTGAAACAAAGAGAAGCAACACAATTTAAGATGCAAACAGATTTCGTTCAAAAGGGGGTAGAAATTAAACAGAGAGGCTAAAACATGTTTACTTAAAACTTACTTGAACATTTAAATAGATTCTATAAAAGACAATTTCTCTCTGTCTGATGTTGCACAAAGTTATACATTTTGTGTTTTAGGGGGTTTAAAAGTTATTTCTTATTGATAGATTTTTTTTTCTTTAAGAAATTATACTACTGTCCTCAAAGTCAGAGATTTGCACACGTTAAGATGACTTTGCCTTTAACATTTTTGGAAAGCCCAGATGAATATGTTGTGGATTTGTGACCTTTTAACAATGTATTACCCAACATTTATGTCATGTCAAATACATCTGTGGATGCATTTTACTACATCACCTCAAACACATTGCTTCCTTGTGATGATGTCATAGGAAATCAAAATCTGTCAAGTTAGGAGGATAACTGAGATGACTGATGCTTGAAGATGACACATACCAAACACTATGGAAATGCCTACCAACGAGCCTGAGGCTGGCTCCTTGTCCCATAAATGAATGTGTTTTGGTGCAAAATGTCCCTATGAGCCCCAAAAGAAAAGCAAAAAATTTAAGCAGGTGAAAAAGTTTCACTCTCTTCTGTGAAACTGGTTCTGTGCCAACAGAGGCTGAAAGGAGCAAGAAAGAAGACATGATTACAAAAGCAACATAAAAGCACAGATTACAGTTTTCACTCAAATAAAGGCCTGGATTTTTAAAGATATATTCCAACGTTTGATGAAACGCAAATTTAACGCTGACCATCTGAAACGATGAAGCTTACATGCCTGAAACAACATACCAACTGTGAAGTATGGGGTTGACAGCATCATGATGTGAGAGTGTTTATCTGCAGGAAGAGCTTGCATTTTGAAAAAAACACAATCACCATGAGAAAATACCAAAGCAAGAAATGATGACGTAAACAAGAAAAGTGCCATACAGGTTTGGGGTAAACATCCAATCCCACTTATTTTATCAATCAAATCAAGACAGATTTTATCTGTATACTGTATAAACTTACATCAGTGTGAAGAGATGTTCAATATAATGTAAATTCAAGAAGTATTGAATGCAGAGTCAACCCCTTGCTAATATGCTTGTAAGCTAAATACTGATAATATTTTATCAGTATTTTCTGCCACAACTTTGAGGACATTCATGATCTTGATGTGGACCAAACTGGAAATAATGTTGACTCCTCTGCCCGAAAAGAAGCCAAACTGTTACTAAAGACCTGACCACCTTGCTCATAATCAGACAGTGTATCAATAAATATGGGGTGTTATGGGTCGTCTTGTCTCGATGCAAATCAGAGAACACACTCTCAGGAGTCCGTTACATAATTTCTTGGACTTCACATGAGTTCATTCAGTTATTTTCCACTCCGCTACGAGAAGCTCGCCGCCGCTGGACGCCGCGCCGCGCAAAGGCCGCGAGGGCGGGCTGGCGGACGGACGGACTGGCGAGCTGGAATGCATTGACGTCAGAAGGAAGCCGCTGGGCACTGCGCGTGCACGCCCCGTTCTCATTGATTCAGCCGCTGCAGAGCGGGCACGCGGCTCTTCAGCTGGAGAGTCACATCAAGAAGAAGAAGAAGAAGAAGTGAAAAGAGTGACTCCGCCGCGACCGACATGGAGCGCAGCGAGGGAGCGGAACGAGGAGGCGACGCCGTCCCCCTGCGCGTCTGAATTCAGCGGTGACAGCGAGGCTTTGGGAGGCTGCGGAGACAAGGGGCTGCTTGCAGTTATCACGGGACATTTGCGCAACGATGGTAAGTTAGCGCCGCCGCTGTTGTTTTTGTCCGACGTGCGGCGGAGTGATGCTGCTGCGGAGGAGCCGACGAGCTGCTCAGCCAGGATGGGACTGCAGTTTGAACAGCTGGCCTCAAGTCCAGCTGAAACAAACTGATGTGCACCAACCCTGTTAATGGCGTTGCAAAAGGAGGCCTGTCAGCGTGAACTTGGCCCAGTGAAGCTGTTTAAAGGGGCGTTAAAGAGGCTGATAACGCAGCTCTGCTTGATGACGCTGCAAGTGATGAAGTGCTGCTGGTGATTTTCAAACTGCTGAAATGTGTTTATCTGAAAAGGACATTTGGTTGTAAAACTCAAAAAGGCTGTTATGGAAGAGCAAATTAAATAATTGGAATAAGTGGCTGAATAAATTAGAACCAGACTGAATAGATTCAACCAAAGGTTAAACAAAACAACAGATGGCAAACTACACACACAGAAAACAGAGAAAGATTTCAAACCTGACCACAAATATACTGGACGTAGACCACGATAAGCATCTGGATCGGATCAAAGCAAAAGCTCTTTAAGACACAATGTAGGTGCTGAAAGATGCCAGATAATCACTAGAGATGCTCAATTATTAATTTTTACCATCATTAGAGGCAAATTAATTCAAAAAGAAAGCGAATTAAAGTGGGAAAGGGTGCACGATTGATTCACTGCTACATTTGTAAAGCCAAAAATCCAGTAAGAGTAACATAAATGTTACAAGTGGTTTGAATGAAATAATGATTTGATTCCTGAGCAAAACATCAATCTGAAGAAAGCTTTCTTCAGATTGATGTGAAGAAAGCTTCGGTGATTTGCACAGCAGTAAGACATTTTCCTTACTTGGTCACCAAATGTGTTTACTCAGAAGATATTTTAGTCCACTCCTCTGTATATAAACTCTCTCATTCTTTGGGTTTCTTGGCTGGAGCTTGGCAATTCAAAGCTTTAGCTCCTTCCTCAGATCTCTTGTTAGACGGAGGTCTGGAGGTGGTGTTGTAAGGCACTTCATGACCATAATGTGGTTGTTCTTGAGCCTCTCCTTTGTTGTCCTGGTGGTACTAATTTAATTTGACTCAAACACTTTGCCTCAGACCTTCTCTGAATCAGACAGCTAATACATGTCTGGACACGTGCAATCTATAGCAGAGCACTGCGAAGTTAATATCCATTGTGAGGTTGGCTTTCCAGTCGTATTCTTGGAGACTGCATCCTCAACTGCCTTCAGATCATGAACGAGCTCCTCCTGTGTAGTTGTGGACTGATTCTTCACCTCATATGATCACCCTGACCATATGAGGTAATGTTTCACCTGAGACTCCAGACTAAGAGTGACAGATGATCATTTCGTATTTCTTTCATCTCCCAAGAAGTGCACGTCTCGTTGAGTTTCCTGTTGACCATCTTGTAATCCATCCCATCTTTGATATCTCCTTTGGTCTCACTGATAAGAAAAGGGTTTGATAACACCGTAGAATGGCTTCGTCTTCCCCATTTGTTTGCACAAAGTGGTGAAAATGTGCACTTTAGACATGACACTTTTAAAAAATAAGAGCTCCTCCAAGAGCAATGTCTGTATTAGGTTGTGTTACTTGTAAAGCAAGAACAATAGCTCAAAAAGAGGACGGAATCTTGCAAGAAAGCTGCTTCTAGGATCAAAAATAACATCAAGATAATTAAAAATGATTACATATTAAACTATAATGGAATCAAAACGACTGAACAAAACTTGCAATATCAAAGCAAAAACAGTAAAAGTTGAAAAGCAAACCTTTTCAAGGTACCATATTATGAACAAAAATTGTTATAGTTCTTTGGAAGAAAAATGAGGCCAAAACATCACAGGTCATCCACTGTACGCAGTACTGTGTTTCTGTGTTTCTTCCATATTCCTGTATGGCAGACATACAGGAATATGTTTGTTATCCTGGGGTAAACAAACAAAAACAATGACATAGTTGCTCCAGATGTTGATGGCTGTGTTGATGAAGGTGGTGGTGAAGAACTCTCCACTCTGGGGATGGAGGATACAATCATGACATCACCAGGCTTAATGTCATCTCCTGACACAAACACATGCTCACTTGGTCTTGAGCACCATCATACATTACGGTTTCTTGTTACAGTATTGATTCGACGTGCCATTTGTGCTTTGGATGGTGATATTTGAGACAAACTCAAACACAAGCCCTCTAACATCAGAGACGATAACGGAATATTTCTCCGTCTGCTGCTCACATCGTACTGTAATTCCGTAATCCGCTCTCAGTACTTAATCTAAACTTGTTCTGTCATGTGTCTGCCATTGTTAAATGAAGTGGAACATTGGTCTACTTTTGGTCCGGTGCCTCGAGGGACGGGGCATTAACAGCAGCTGACCTCATCTAAAGCCTTTCTCCCATTTGGGCCAGAGGCCAAAGTTATCCTCACAGTCATTTTGTTTCATTGTTTTGTCTTTTTTGTCATCCTGCTAGGCAACCCCCCAGCATTGAGGGACTTTCTACATCACAGAACTCTTGACCCAGCCAACTTCCCTCCAACCTTTTTGCGTCAACCATGGACTCCTCAAGGGATTTGACCTCAGCCCTGGACGGGCCTGCGGACCCCCGAGGCTTCCCGGGTCGCTCCGATCTCAGCGGCCTCTACCATCTGGGCCGGACGCTGGGAAGGGGCCACTTTGCTGTTGTGAAACTGGGCCGTCATGTCAACACAGGGCAACTGGTGGCTGTGAAGATGATTGATAAGACTAAACTGGATGTCATGGCAACAAGCCACCTCTTACAAGAAGTCAGGTGAGAAATGATAAATAAGTTTTAAATTTGTAATGAACTATTCTACAAGAAACAGATTTAAAAAGTATTAATAATATTGTCAAAAAAGACAGGAGAGAACAAGTCTATTTGAATGCATTCTGTGCTAGTTCTAGTGAAATTAGATAAAAAATTATTTATTTATATTGTATTTGAGAATGCAATAAAAAACTGGTGATTTTTTTGAGGAATTCAAAATAATAAAATAACATTTTATGGTGTAGAAATTCTTTGCTTCAATACAATTTACCACATGGTGCTTTGATAATAATTGTTGGGAAACACTGATTGCTTGACTAGTGACCTGAATCAGATGACTTTCAAATTAAAATGAAAATCTCTCAGTAATCAGATTGAAATTTTTTCCACACTTTCAACTGATGCCAGGAATAAGCATTCAACAATCCCTCCATGCTTGTCCTTGCGTCTCTTTCTGTCGGTGGAAGGTCAACTGGTGAGACGTTTAAGCATCTTGGTGTATTTTGCACAAGTAACGGTCAAGTAGAGTGAGAAACTGATGGACAAATTGAGGCTTTGTCTTTTTTTTTAAATTTATTGCTTGTTTAATCTGTAATGTTAAAAAGAAGAATGCAATGAAAGTCAAAACTCTTGATTCCCTGCATATTCAACCCTCACTGATCATTATGAGTTATGAAGAGCTAAATTTATTAATTTACTCGACTTCACTGCAGTCACCATATTTTACGTGGCGCAAGTTATCACTTCCAGAGTGCTGAAGGTAGGCAGAAGATAATGAGAAAGAAGTAAAAAAAAAAAAACTGTGCATTTCTAATCAGATCTAAGACCTCCCATCCGTATCAGTCAATAGGCACATGAACCAACTGGATGCACACACACTGACTTGGTCTGTCATCTCAAGCCACCTGAGCTCACTGGAGGTGACTTTTTGTTCAAAGGAAGTTGTCCTTTCTACTGCAGCCACATTCATGCCTATAAATAAAACATTCCTATTGTAAAAAAAACACAATCTGTCCATCTCTTTAAGAAAGGAATCACAAAAACATGACAAATCCATTCTGCAAAATGTACATGCATACAAAGGACGGTTATTTACATTTACACTAGAACCACGGTTTGTACTTCTTTAACTGCAACATAAATCAACTTTTGTTACACATTTGTAGGTGCATGAGGCTGGTGCAGCATCCCAACGTGGTTCGGCTCTACGAAGTCATCGACACTCCCACCACGCTCTACCTGGTCATGGAGCTGGCCGAAGGCGGTGACCTCTACGATTACATCCTGCGCCACGAAGGAGGCGTGGTGGAGGGCACCGCCAAGCGTCACTTTGCCCAGATTGTGCGAGCGGTGTCCTACTGCCACCAGCTGCACGTGGTGCACCGGGACTTGAAGCCGGAAAACGTGGTGTTTTTCCCCCAGCAGGGCGCTGTGAAGCTGACAGACTTTGGCTTCAGCAATTTATTCCAGCCTGGGATGATGCTGGCCACCAGCTGTGGGTCGCTGGCTTATTCTGCTCCAGAGATCCTGCTGGGAGAGGAATACGATGCTCCAGCTGTGGGTGAGAAACTGAATCATGTTTATTTCCATTAGAGAATGTTGAATGTTGGAGGATTGATTGTTTTCTTGTGGATATAAATCATCTAGAAATTTCAAAAGCTCTTTAGTTTTTGAGGCATTTTAAATGTTTGCTTTAAGAAAACATTTTATTTTCTGACCAAAAATTTCTATAAACTCTGACAACTATCTGCTATTAAACTAATTCCACTATTCGAGAATTGCCACCAACAGATTTTCCAGATTAACACGGCGCTTCTCACATTGGTATCTGCGTGTCCATCTCTGCCCTCCTGACCCTGTGTGGGTATTCCTCTCGTGTTTGCTTTTTTGTTCCTCTTCGTTCACGTGTGAATGTGCCACAGTCTGATCGCTTCTGCTGAGGATTAGTGTTTGTATTTAGGTCAGCCAGTTGTGAGCCAACCAGGCACATTCTGCACTGCAGCCGTCCCTGCACAGCAGGTCGCAGAGCGGAAACAGGAAGTCCCATGCCTTTTGTGCTCGCTCTGATTGGGAAGGCTGCACTGATTGTGGGATTTGACATTGCAGGAACAGAAGGGGAGCTGAGGGATTTGGTTTTACGTGTCCCATTTGGGGGTTGGACGAGATCGGAGAGGGGGAGGGTGTCTGCTTCAGGGAGGTTGGTGGTCTTATCTGCTAAGCTGGACTAGGCTGGATTTTGCTTTGGCAGAATCTGGCCCACTTCTTTATGTTGGTCGCATCTGCACTGAATACAAATGCAACCCCACTGCAATTAGTGCTCTCTTGTAGAAGGACATTTGGTGCATTTATCCATGAAAGCAAGGTTAAGTTGCAAATGGCTCCAAATGACAGCGTACGTAATTTAAGCGCTCGTGAATTGTCAGGTTTTATTTTTTTCATGTGACCTTGCCTCATGTAACAATGGGAGGGGGTGATAAAGAAACACCTTAACTTTCAGCACGACTCGCGAGTTGCATCAGTTCCTTTTTCCTCGGGTTGGTTCCTGTTTCTGAAGGGACGTCCCTTTAAATTTATTTCTTATTAGCTCCTCTCAAGAACATGCTCTGCTTCGCTGCCAAGTAGGCACACTTTTTGTGCCCTATTTTCATATCATCCAGCGTGACTCAGCCTGTCGATAGCATGGCTTTGTCATCACTTCTATAGAAACGTACTCTTCTGACTCCCTGACTCATAAGCACACATGTATTTATGGATGTAATCCTGAGCTGCACGCTGCAGGAGATGTCCCTCAGAGATGTCTCGGCTTAGTAAGATGACTCATAAACTGTCACAAACACCATGCCGGCTCTCTGTGGCGCTCTAAGCAGGCCTCCTTCACTGTACATGTGTGCTCTGTTTGATGTGTGTTTCATAAGACGCAGAAAAAAAAAGGGAAGATGTTCACAAAGTGTAAATGCTGCGTGCCGTAATATGAGGTCGGTCCTCATGCAATCGACTGCAAACCTAAGAGAGCTGCTGAAGTTCTTGTAATCCTGTCACATTCTTCAAGGGATTTGCTAATTTTTTTTATTAGGGTCGTGTTGGCTACTTTTGAGTAGTCACTATCAATAGACATCATTGAGAAGAATTTCAAATAGGAGCAGCTGGGACCCTCCCTATGAACATATTTGAGAAAATGCAGAATGTTTGGAAAACAAATACAAACGGTAAGGTTAGCAACTCAATGTTCTCTTAAAGGGAGTTGAAAGTACTGATTGCCCATAAATACCCCACACACAATCCTCACATTGAGAAGTTCAAACTTTGTCTTTTTAAAAATAGCAAAATCTGAGCAGTGGGTTGAACCAAGGCTGACAGTTTGCGTCCTCAGATTCAGCTCCTCGGGTTAAAGTCTTTGCAAGCGTGAAAACACCTCATGACATCCCCTTAGCTTGCTGCCACAACACATGCACCTCTCATTTCTTTCTTGTTTTGTGGAAGCTGAAGGTTGGATGTGAGGGGCACATGGAAAGCCCCCTCCACTCACAGATCCCGTTATAGATCAGGACAGAGCATCACAGCCGGAGAGGCTTTTTTTGACAAAACTCCTTTGTGTTTTCACATCAACCTGAAGGCTGGTGAGTTGTTTATATCAACAAGTAATGTTCCAGTGCTTGGAAAGGACACCATATCCACATCAACACAGTTTAATAATAGCAAAAAGAAAAGGTTAGCTTTGTAACAAAATCTACAAACAGATTTTTTTAATACTCAGCATGTCCTGAAGCTTTTCTTATGTCAACTTAACACTAATTTGGAATGTGGACATAAGACAAGGTTTTTCAAGAACTAAAGCTTGTCTTTCACAAGGTAATCAGTTGAAATATTTATATTAAGGTGCAATAATCATCACACTGGGCCTCAGTATTACCCCTCAGCTGGTCACAATTATTAACAGTTCAAATATTCCCTGATATTACTTTATTCTCTTTAAAGAAGCTTAAAAATCATCAGTTATCACAGGATCTTGGCGACGTCAGTACGACCATATGCACCTCGATAAAAGAGAGTATTGTTGAAAATAACGTTTAACTAATTAAATATTTCCATCATTTATTCTTGTTGACATTGATGAAAACTGAAAAATTAATTTTTTTTAGAACTGAATTTACACAATACAATACCTTTTTTTCTTTCCCAAAGAAAAGTCAACCTTGTGTAAAGGTTGACTCCAATTTCATTTGGAAAATCAGCTGATTATCACTGAATGGAGGAGATCAGCCTATGGCTTTGCTGAGGTGCAAAGGAAGCTCAGATTACTTTAATAACGTCCTTCAGTTTTCCTCATACATTCCACATAACAATGTTGGTTCTGGTCTCTGTAGGAGGATGAAGGATGGGGTGTGGCAGAATGTACTGTTAAAACTACATATTAAGAAACTGATAGTAAGACTTTTAAGCCATTTAGTCCTCGAAATGCACATACAAACACACTTATGGTGTCCTTTTCCAAGCACTATCACTGCTTTTAATGATTTTCTATATTTTGATTTTAACATTTTAATCATGCCCATCACTTCCTCCCATAGGCCATGTAGATGGTGGTAAAAGTTGCAGAAAATTGTCTGATGTCACTATGCAACTATTATATTTATACTACAATGCATTGTTGGCTTTTACATAAAAATATATTTCACAAATAAATTTGCTTCTACAATGTAGATACTCTGACTAGAACCTATACTTGTCACCTCAATCTAACATGGTTGAATGACCTACTTGACAAGGTATTTACCACAAAAATATTTTACTTCCAAACCAAAATCAACTTATTGCTGCTTCAGATTGGCTGCATTCTTATGCAGCGTTCAGGTGCATTTTTCTATTCTATTGTTCTCTGCTTAACTGAAGTCTTGTCAGATGGTCCAGGAGGAAATCTCATACTTTCCCAGGTCTTCCAATGCCAGACCGGACACCTTTTTTGTGTCTACCCCATAAAAAGAATGTTTTTAGCTATGAAAAGCCTTTTGCCGTCTTCCTAGAGGACAAAATGGTAGATTAATAGGAACATGTGATATTTATAGTTAGGACTGAGAATAAAGGGTAATGGGTGAAAGTGAATTAGCTAAAAATGTTGTTCAATTGTTTTAATTTTGTAGTTTGTAAAATGAAAAATGTTCCTTATCAGTCCACTCTAGTCAATGAATCAGAGGGTATTGTTAGTGCACTTTCCTCATACATTCCACATTACTGGTGACCAGAAGGAAGGAGTGAGCCCAGTCTGGCTTCAGCTTCCGAATATACGCCAAAGAATGCTTTTTTTTTCTGTCTGAACTTGGATGGCCTTTTGTAACGAACCCTTTATGACAAATTTGTTCTTGAAATACGCACCTTAAAGGAAGCGCCTGTCTAATAAATCCACAGAGCCTGGATCTGCTGCTGAACTTTGGGCCAATCTTGCAAAATTCTCAATATTATCCGATCTCTTCAACCCTTTTCACAGTCTGTTGGTTTGCAACTACAAGCAGAGGCGCTGCCAGGAATCTTAGGCTTATCTATGGCTTGCTAAACTATTTTCTTTCACTCAAGTGTTACTGTCTTTCTTCTGTGCAGTATTTGTGAACATGAATTTTCAGATTCCTAATTTGATTTAGTTTATAGTTGTGTCAAACTGATTTCTGTTGATAGATTAATCATTGTGTTCAGAAGTTTAAACCTTCAAAGAGATAGATTTGTATATCGGATACTAAAAAGGGAGATTGAAGCTTTTAATTGGTAAAGAAAAATGATGCTTTACTTTGTCTATTACACCAGATCTCAATAAAACACATAAAAATTTGTGGTAACATGACCAAAAGTTACAAAGTTTCCTTGTTGTGAATGCTTGACCAAGGCACTGTACACCCTGATATATTTATACGGCATATAGCAGATGCCGTGTGTGTGTGTGTGTGTGTGTGTGTGTGTGTGTGTGTGTGTGTGTGTGTGTGTGTGTGTGTGTGTGTGTGTGTGTGTGTGTGTGTGTGTGTGTGTGTGTGTGTGTCTGGACTGGATCGCTGTGCGATCAGCAGCCCACTAATGTGTGGTGGGAATGTGTGATATTCCCCAGTGAGAGGAAAGCACTCCCAGCACTCAAGAGGTTTCTCCTCCCTGTTGCGTAATGCAGCTCTGGATGGAGGTGAGCGTGCGCTTGAGTGTACATTGTATGAGGAGAACTGAGGGCTTTTGTTTGGGCCCTCATGAGCTTAATATGGGGCAGTGCCTGAATGCTTCATCAGCGCTGCTCCCAGTAGTGCGAGTCCCTGGATAGAGGAGAAACTTATTGATTGTGTCCTTACATGGATCCATTTTTAATTGGATTAAGATGTTGCATCAAGCTAAAAAGTCTGGTTTTCATAGTGGGTGCTGACATAAAAGAGACGCACAAATAATTAGCATTTTTCACATGGTCAGAATCTCTGAAAAATGAAACTGCAAATGCATAAAACTGCAAAAAGATGTTTGAGTTTGTAAAAATGTCATAATGCGATTGTCATACAGCTATCATAACTCGTAGCATATTGTTGCTTATTAGAAGGCACCTTTGTATGTTAGTTTTGCTTAAAATAAGCAAAACTATTAAATAAGCAAAACTATTATTATTATTTAATTAAAATAAGCTAAAACTCCTAATAAAACCAGAAGAAGCTCCAAGAATAAAGTAAGGAGTATCTTTTAATATTTGCCATCCTTAAACAACTAATATATAAAAAAGGTCTTTATTATTTTTATATATACAAACCTAGATATGTGTGAGATATTTCTAGTGTCACGCCAGGGTTAAAACTGGAAGTGAACATTATGTGCCTGTGTTCCTGCCTCCAGTGTTTGGGAGAAACACAGAGAGAGAGGCAGGAAAGACAGAAGGATGATCGTTCTCAGAATAGCACAGCCACAACGAGGCCTCTGTTTGTTACGGGCCCACTGCCCTCAGCTCAGTTCGAGTGCGTGTTCCCGTCTGGCTCACGCTGTCCTGAGTCTGCATTAAAACCATGCTTGCACCAGGATGCCAGAGGAAGGAAAGGGAGGAGACGGAAAAAGAACAGAAGTGTCACAAGTGGTTAACATGTGTGAATGTGTTTTTTTTTTTTAATCATATTTTCCATTTAGTCTTCTGCAGCTTGCTTCACTCAAATGTTTCCCCTTTCATTAATTAGGAATTTAACTAAGTCAGAGACTGGAAAGTTTTATGTTCAGCCCTTAGTCTCTTCAATAAAAACAGAAAACTATAAAAAATAAATAAATAAATCATTATACAGCTCATGTCTTATTAGGGAATTTTAAAGTAAGAGAAACTAATGTTTAGCCATTTTCCGTGTATATTTTAAAATAATTTTTTATTCCAGGCAATAAACAAAGAGTGTCTGTTTTTCTACTCAGCAGTGAAAATGCTGCACAAACCTGATCTAGTATATATTTTGTAATACAATTGGTGTAGTTTTCTCATGTTGTATCATTTTAATTAATAAATAGCATTGTTCCCCTGGTTTGTGGGATTCGTTCATGTTAGATACAGACAACTGTTAAACTATTCTCTGAGTTGTTTGCTTCATTTCAATCAGTGGCTCTAATTCCTCATTAAGATTCAGATGTGTGTGTTCCAGATATCTGGTCTCTTGGGGTGATCCTGTACATGCTGGTCTGTGGAGTCCCTCCCTTCCAGGAAACCAACGACAGCGAGACTCTGGTCATGATTCTGGACTGTCGCTACTCAGTCCCCGAACACGTTTCAGACGGCTGCAGAGAGTGAGTACTGAGGAGTTATAATCCATCCACACGTGACAAAGTAAAGTCATTTTTAATATTTTTTTGTGCCACTCATACATATGTGGAATTTTTTATTACTTTTATTTTTTACTGCAGTACCTCAATCGAACATTTAAACATTTATTACAATCGAACTTGGAATTTGATCACTTGTATTCAGTGGATAAAAATCCCGCGCTAGGAAAATGTATTATACAAAATCAACTGTGCTACAATTATTGGCCCCTGCTGTTAAGAGTGTAGAACCTCCTTTTGCCAATAGAAGATTTGATGTTAATAGATGTGTTGTGTTTTGTTTTTTTATCTACAAATATACAAATAACTTAATTCTCCATCCTGTTGCAAATTCAATTTGGGCTAAAATTGACCGTGAGATTGTCATTAACATCTGTGAACCCCAACCCACAATTCATCATGGTCAGTCATACAACTCGAGCATGCCTGTCTGTCTTCACACTTAACCTCGATCCCTCACACCTCAAACCAAAACACACACACTGTTCTCCCAGTTCCCTGAGCAGCAGGGCGAACTGACAGGAAAAAAAGGACTCTAAAGTTATACTAGGCTGCAGATTTTTATTCTCTCTCTGTTGACAAAACAAAGAAATGAACTACACCTGAAATATAGAACAGACTCAAAAAGCCATGTCAGCAATATAGACACTTTTAAGGATCCAGCTCCTCCACTTATTTGCTGCTTCTGTATGATTCTTCATACAGTACTGCACGAAAGCCTCATGTTATCAAGAAAATCTCAACGATTAACTGTTTCAAGTTTTTCTTTTTTTTTTTCTTTTAATACAAAAATTACAGCAGATTATTTGACCTGTGAGTCACAAACTTTGCTTGAAGAGCAAAAAAAGTTATTGTTCATTTCTGGCTCAGCTTTTTGAATAAACACCTATTAAACACTTCTTGTTTATTTTTATTCCTCCAACCAAACGGGTCATTTGATCATCTGCAAAGATATTCTGAAACATCTGACCCCAGATTTATTACGTGACCTTATACATCATCATTATAAGGTTGATGTATAATTGTTCTGTACAATTAGGAACAGAGCTGGGAAGAAATTCATTCTTTCACACATGCAGGTCTCAAACACAGAAGGTAGCAGTATGGCGAGGACTTTGTTTGAAGCCAGTTCAAGTCAATTTATGTGAGACTTTATAAAAGGATTACAAACATCAGGACGTTTTGTAAAATTGACAGTCAGAATTGTTACAGATTGTGATACTTTAGTTATGCTCACTGGATTCTAATGGTCTTCAAGAGCGCTGACAACATATTCCCCACACCGTTACACCATTTCAGCTTTTTACCACAATACCAGCCCAAATGACACCAACAACTACAACAAGTTAAAAATTTTCACGTCTCTGATTGTTTCACTTCTCTAAGCTGTCTTCCCTAAATCCAGCATTAAATTGCTGCCAATTGTTTGGCTTATTATGCGCTGTTTGTGTTAACAAGTGCTAGTTGAGAATAACAGTGTCGCAGATGAGTAAATCCTCCCCTCTAGACGACATCTTTTTTCTGGGAACACTACATCTTAGCAAGACAATAAAAACACACATTATTATAACACCATAGCTTAGTAGTAGTAGAAGGGTGTTGAAATAGTGCGGTGAAAACAATCCAAGCTTTCTGACACTAAACACTCAATGGACAGAGGACTATTGAACAATTAGATTCAGACAAGATGTCTTGTGGCCATCAAATTCAAAATAATAATTTTTTTGAATGGGTGGGAATGGGGGCTGGATATTACAATTTTTGAGTGTGCTCATATACTACTTTACCATGTGAAATTGTGAATAACATTTGCCTTTATAAGGTTCATTAATTGTTCTTTTTATAACTTACTTTTTACACAACACCCCAGCTTTAATGCAATCCATTTTTTATATTCAGTTTGATCTCCAGGATGCTGCAGAAGGATCCGTGTCGCCGTGCGTCTCTCGATCAGATCGAGGCTCACCAGTGGCTGCAGGGCCTGGATGATGCCCTTCTCAGCCCTGAGGCGCCACCACACTGGGTAGCAGGGGCCCTCTCTGCCTCATCTTCCTCACTGTGTGCTCCAGAGAGTGGGGATCTGCTGGCTATGAGGACCTCCACTCAGCAGACGTTTCCTGGCACATGGCAGCCCAGCCTCGGCTTCAGCCTCCGACCCGCTCCAGCTGAAGAGCCTCCTGTGGGCAAGAACGTTCCTGCACTGCAGCAGATCTGTGAAGAGGAAGAAGAGGAAGAAGAAGAGCGGGAGGGATTAAGAGAACTGGAAGAGGAGGCTGAGGATACGCTGGAGTGCATGGAAGAAGGGGAAGAGTTAGGAAGTACAGGAGAGGATAAAGTAGAGGAGATGCAGAGAGAAAATGAAGACAGCGGCTGTGTGATTTCAGATCAGCCTGTCAGTCACCGGGATGAGACGCTCAGTCAGACATCTGAAGTCACTCTGACATCCGAAGTCACTCCATCCTCACCAGCTTTCAGGGTGTCTTGTTGTCAGCTGAACATCTCGAACAGAAAGGAGGGGCAGGATGAAGAGATGGAACCAAACAACAACACGGGCAAACCGCCCCCACTCCTCCCAACTCCTGAACCCTGTCAGTCCTGCATCTCTGCGTCCTCCACCTGCCTGAGGGAGAAAACAGAAAGGGAGGAAGAACTGAACGAAAAGAACGAGTCCACGGCAAAATCTCCAGCCCAAAATCCACATGGAAGCCGGGACGAGTCGGTACCGAGGGCGGAGCAGGGGAAACGACACAGCATCAGGCTCCGAGACAGACTCTTCCAGTTCCCTTTGTGCGAGAAAGCCCTGGCCTTCAACATACCTTCACAGAACAAGCCCAAGATCCTGCCACTGGCTCAGTACAACTGCTGCCACGTGCTGTAGCAAATGTTGGCTTCAGAATCGCTCTCTCTGGGGACGCGCGGGCTGCTTAGCAGTCAACAGGTGGTTGAAGCCCGAACACAGACCTTGTGAAGTGGCACGCAGCTGAACTCTTCAGAGACGATGAGCAAAACAGCTCTCAGCAAGCAAACACGCCTGTACAGCTTCACAAACACCCACTTCCAACAGTGTGCTCATGTAATAAACATTACTTTAGTAAGAGTCAACAGTGAGATGTACCAAGGACTTAATTTCCATTTGCTGCTGTGTAAAGGAGCGACTGCAGAATAAAAAAAATATATATACTGTTTGTTCATTTGTAGCTTCAAGACAAAACTGCTCCAACCTCTATGGACTTGTAGAAGTTAGTGAGAGAAATATGAGGGCAAGATTTATTTTAATACATAAGCTAGAGACCATTTTGTTTGCTCGAAGGTGCCTATGAAGATTAAGTGGATTTGTACTGTAGTCAGTCCAGTCCATAGCAGATCCACTGTGCTGCATGTTATCACCAAGATACGTCATCAGTCACCTGCCAACTATATTCTCAAATATATTTTAGATGGTACACCAGAAAATGTGAAAAACTGAAGATGTTTTCATTTTACTGCAGAAAAAAACTATCTGATGCTTCTTCTTTCTGTATTTGGGTGTAAAATCAGTGCAGGCCAAATCACGACCCCTTCACCACCATGCTTGATAACTGGAATGAGGCGTTTGTGCTGCACTTTTGTTTTGGTGTTCAATACGCACAGTGACAAATATCTTACTGCAGATATTACTGTAGATGTTTTGCGATTAACGCCGATGCAACTTTGCAAACCGTTGTCATGCTGCGAGATTAATTTTAAAGAGGAGAAGCCCGAATTTTTCCAAACAAGACAAACTTGTTCATGCTTTTTTTTAATGTTCTCCTGTCATAATATTTCATATATGGCATGGTAGCTTAGGTGTGCACAGGATTGCAAGGGCTAATCCTGAATTTACTGAGAAGATAGGCAACTGTCTTAAATGTTTTCCATACAAAAAATATTTCTCACTGGAGAATAATAGACCTTACAATCATCCCCCCATTAATGGGTAGAAACAATGAATTTACAACTGTCATAGCTTAAGTCTTGTCATGTTGGCGTGGTGTCGGCAGAGCAGAAAATTACCAAAGCTTCTGCTTGTATAGAAATATTACTGCTATGTCTTTCTGGGTTGAAAAAAGACCCCAGATAGCAAGTCCAACTATCCAAACAAATATAAAATTCATTCTTCCCATCTCATCAACGAGGATTTATTGAAAGCCTTCTAAAACTCGGTCACCCATTATCTCTTCAATATTACTGAAAAATTTATTTCAGTAACTCTCAGATGTTTTCAATTCTTTTTCTGTTATGATTTTCCATTTTTTATGTGAAAACACATTTCAAATGATAATACGACATCAGACTATGGAGACCAATAAAAAAAAAAACATTTTACAGAAATGTGGGCTTCATAAAAAGTCTATTACCTACTGAAAGATTCTCAAAAGGTAATGTTAATCTGACAAGCGAGCCTCATTAGAATGCATGTTCTAATTTATTGAAAATCAGGCAGAGGGAGCATGAAATGTATGGCATTTAAATAATCAGCTAACACTTATTGCCTCAAGCAGGAAGTTCTTTGCAATATGCATCGTGCAAGCAGCAACATTACAAAAATGATAGATGTGTCATTCATTGTGCAGCCCTAAAGTGTACTTATTTTTTCACACACCGCTTCACTGATTTGGCCTTGTCCTTGTGTAATAAACATTGAGACAGTTTTAATCTGTGTCTCAATGGGAGGCTTTTTTTATACGTGAGGGTCGATTTAAAACAATTTAGAAATCACGTCTGACATGAACCGCATCCTTTGTTATGGGAAGCTGTAGATGTTAAAAAGGGGTGTGCTTTCTTGAGCCAGGGCTGCTTTGTCCCTCAAGTTTTGGGTTCTGCATAGAACAATATATTTGATAGAACCTTTGTTTTAATCTCCAGTGGAGATCCTTAGACTTGGATTGGAGATATGTATTTTACATCCAAATACATGGGGGGAAAAAACATGTTAAAAGGCAGGATTTTTCTTCAAGATTGATTGGATTAACTAGAATGAATTATTTGGTATGTGTGTGTGGTTTAAAATCAATCATTAAGGAAAACCAACTGCGGGTTTGACTTCAAGATGGTGTGATTTATCCACAGTTTCACTTTTCTCCTGCACATGTTGTCATTCCGGTTTCAAAGCTCTTAACATAAGCTCATATGATAAAGACTGTTATGATATGATGTGACACTGTATATTAGAGACTCGGGGAGACCTGCTGCTCTCTTATGTTCACAGTCTTATTAACTTAATACCTTGTTCTGTATTAATAACAAGGATGCAGGTCTCCTGTGCTTTGTGTTTTGAAAATATTTCCAGAACTTTTCTTTTCTTAAGGGTATGATTTTATAACAAGACAAAGATATTAATTATCTGAACAGATGTGTGGGACTTTGCATGTTGCTGCAGATATTTATCACAATGTACCTCCAGGTGTCTTGGGTCTGACAGAACAGCCATTGTTTTTGCTTAACTGTTAATAATAACCCACTGAATGATGAATTGCACACAGTATGAACACTGTAGCCGGTAGCTTTCTGCACGCAGTATCTGGGGACTCGTGTAGATTCGGGCCATCACACAATGACTTTTTACTGTGTAGCTGAAGAGTCCCTTTGTGTACTATTATTTTACCACATAACTGCCCTGTTTGTGCTATATTTTTCCACTGTTGTGAAGAGAAGCAGAATCTGCTCAACGAACAGTATCCAGTGACTGTCACTGACATGTGATTGTTCGCTCCCAGCCTAAAAAATAGAAAAAAAAAAGAGCGCACGTCACGTGAAAATCCTATTAGGACTAATATCTCATCAGCCACGAAAGCTTCAAACCCGTGCAAACGAGGGATAAAATTATTTGTTCCTGCGTCCTGTCTCCCTTAATGTCTGCTGACCTGTATTTTAACCTGGATTGTGAACCTATTTTTCCTCTATTTATTTATTAAAATGGATTAAAGCAACTGAATGGATGCATGAAGAGTTTTATTTCTAATGCACTCACTTAAAAATGTTTGGTTTTTATCTGACTGAAAGCTGTCTGCTGCATGATATTTCACATCCAGGACATTATGGATTAATTCTGTTGAAGCTGTTTCTCTGGTGTATGACTTATCCTACCTTAAATTAAAAAAAAATAAAAAATGCACTATAATTACAATTTAAGAATTACACTTTAGGAAACAGCCATACTCCAAAGAAAAAAATAATTAAATGTATATTTAATTGGCAACTATTTGAAAGATTACAAGAATGTCAAGCTGCTGAATACACGTATATAAAGAAATGAACAGAACAAAAACTTCAGCTGCACCTTTAAAAAGAAAAGAGTTTAAATTACAATTAGTAACTTTAATTCTTTAAAAACACACACATCACTATAAACACATTTTCAAGTGACTATTATTACAACCAGGAAACACCGCCGGCTTTTAAAACCCTACAGTCAGATTGTCTTCATCTACACATCCTCCACCGAGTACCCAATATACACACACACACATGCACACACACACCCTCCCCCACACACACCCAAATCCATATTTTGTGTTTAGTCTGCAAATCTACAGCTGCAGCAGGTTGAAAGGAAACCACCAGACCTGCAACCGCCAGGATTGCATATACAAGCTGCATCACCATCAAGGTCAGTGTGTGGCGACGCCTGGTGGCTAAAAAGACTAAACACTTAAATACAATAAGAGTAGAAATTGAGCAAATATACAAAAACCGACTGTCACTGTCGGTTTTAAAACTGCCCTTTAAATATACCAAATTAACACCATCATCGGTGAACACGTATCATCGTGATAACAACATGCACTATTTGACTTTAAGTTAATGCGGTTAGGGCCACAGAACTGCAAAATTGGTGCACAAACAAAAAAATAAACAAACAAATAAAACAAAATATTCAAAACAATATCACTGCACAGCTTTGGTCTCTTCCCATAGCATGAATTTTCTATTGACACCTGAAACACAGAATACAGATGTTTTCAAAAATGATTTTTAAGAAAACGCTTAACCTTCATTGAAAATTGCTAAGCAAAAAACAAAAAACAAAATCGACTTTGGTTTTTTATTTTGTCTTTTCTGTTCTCAGCGCAGTAAGGGATGATAACGTAATTAAGCTGATAAATTATAAAAATGACTTTAATGTCAGAATTGTGAGGGGAAAAAAATGCCTGAATTTGGCCCAATCTTCTTCCGTAGTTTTTCTGTTGTCCAAGAAAACGATGCAACAAAATGGTACTATCTTCAGTGTTGTGGCATCCGATACTTGATTCTAGCGTTTACGTCAAGTAAACAACGGAGTATGTAAAAAATATAACAAATTAAACTCTTATTTATTTATTTATGATATAAAGAGTAGCTAAAAAAACCCAGCTGTTAGCTTGCCGCCGGAATAAGCTAGCTGTTAGCTAACATAAGCCAACATGGCGCCGGATATTTGACAAATTTGTAACGTCGTGTTTCGACTTTGAGAAGCGACCATAAAGCCCACGGACAGTACTCCGTAAGTAAACCCTGTCATATATTAGCAGTTTCTTTCGAGAGGCTTCTTTGAAATCTCCATGTTGTTGTACAATGTCTAAACCCTTAAACTTAATAGCTAGGTCTAAACAGTTGAATAAAAACTATCAGTTGTTACAACCAAGGTTTTCAATTCAGTAGATGTGAATAGTTATTTAGCAGCAACTTAAATGCAAACTCGACATAGTTAATTTTCAAAGCATGAATTCACTTTTTGAATTCATTTAGTGAAAATCACATAGAAACATTGTAGGATTTGTTTTAATTTTTGTTTTGTTTTTTTGTTTTCTGTCAATCATGAAATAATTTAGCCATCTTAAGATCCGACTGGTAGCCTGCAGAGGAACTTAGTTGCAGAGCATACCGATCATCTTCTCTTTGGCATTGCTTACCGTGCTGGCGAATACTTTTGATGGATAAAGTCGAGTAAAACAAATTTTCATCTATTTCAGTGAATTGCTTAAAAATGTGGATAACTACTTTAAAATGCTTTTATGTATTTAACACATATATCTGTCGTTTTATTCAAGTTCTTGGACACTAAAATTAAGCGGTTTAGTGTTTGAGAAGTGGTATGAACAGTGTTTAGGTGGGTCACTCAGATATTAGTATTGCAACGTTACAATTTCATATGGTAGGTCTTGTTATTGTTACGTTTACCAGAGACGGGATGTTTGTGGTCGTAATGTTTTGGAGCATGTATTGCATTGAGATGCACCAAGAGTCATTACAGCATAACTAGAGGAATCCCTGGTAACTTTTTAAATGTTGTTATTAAACACCTGGGTAAGGACGATGTACATCAGATATTGCTAAAAGTAGCTTTAAAGTCAGCTCACTCTTTCTTTTTATTGATATTGTCCTCTTGCTCTAAATCCTGGACACTGACTGTCTATTGTCACCAGGTGGCAGCAATGAGGCAAATATTCTGCCTGTTTTTGGCACGAGTAACTTGAAATACTGTGTCTCTTTTTATATTAACTGTATAATCTGCATCCTTAGTAAAGCCTCTCACAAGACTCTGATGCAGTGAATGAAGTCCTGGCAATCCATTTGGTGCATTTTTAAGGATAAATTCACTTTTAGCTGCTTGTGTTAATTGCACTTGCAGTATGCATAAAATGTTACATGTTTAAATAGCAAAAGCACTGTGTGAATTAGTAAAGTCAACAAGAACACTTGGAGCAAAATCACAGCTGTGGGACGATACAGGACACTCTTGAGCTCTGTTGTCCTCTTTGGTTTTACCTCCCGAGACACTGAGCACGACTTCAATCTTGAAACAAAATTAGGACTCTTGAGTGTTCAGCTTCTGGAAAATATAAGCAAAATACTTAAGAAAGCTAAGAAATGAAGCAAGTACGTGATAAAGTCAGTTAAAATAGCTGACCTGCTGTCTGAGGGCTTGCATAGATGTGTACTCAATATGCTCCCTCTTTTTCCGGATCCAGTCAGGCTCATCTGGTATCAGGGCAGCCATGATCACCTTTACTAATATCAGGACATGCTGCAAATACACAGAGATGAAATTACACCAACAGACATCAACGAAGAGATTATTTGGGATCCAGCCTTCGCTCTTACCTCCACCATAACAGCCCCCATCAGAAGGTTGCTGCTGCTCATCCCGGCCTCCTGACTCATCTTCTGCAGACGTGGAGACAGCAGCAGCAGCCAACCATTGGAGACCACTGACACAAAACTCAAGACCTCAAAGGCAACCTAAAATGGAAGACTCTGATATAAGCAGACATCTACAAATTTGGTTTTTGGGTTTTAATATGGTTTTATACTGCAGCTGACCTTCCACACACCCATACTGGCCACAGGAGGACAAAAGGGTTTGCGGAAGAGTTTGCAAATTTTGTAAGCGTCCGATCTGATTTCTGTTAGGTTGTTGAGGAGCAGCAGGACAGCAGTCAAAGGAAACACGCAGGAGAAAAGACTCAAATACCCAAACTGCACCAGCAGCTCAATGTATTCTGCAAACAGTCCCTGTGGTTGAAAAAGCAGATTTATAGGCTGCTTTTAATCAAAACCTTGTTTTAAGACGTTTAAAGTGATTCAGAGCACTCACCGGAAAAGTAGGAAGGGTGCCTTGGTTCCGAAATTTTTCCTCTTCTGGGTCGTCTTTGCTCTCTGTCCTGTGGGGGGCACTGATGAATCGGTCCACAAGGAAAGGTATGACCACTTCTGTTATCTGGTTCACCAGCTGAGAGATGATCAGCAAAGAAGCTAAACGCTTTAAACAGATAGAAACAGTGTGTGAAAATCTGATTGTACATCTTGTAGTCACTCATGAATTAGCTCATTTGTAATCAAAATCCTGCAATTTACAAAAAGTAAAAAGTTAAATTAATGATCCCACGAAATAAACAAAGAAAAATCTCTAAATTATATGTATTTTTGATTTAAATTAAAAGAAAAAAAAATGGTTCCCATTAGGAAAACAAATGTCCTAAGATAACAAACTCAGAAAAGCATTAGATCTGATATATAAATGTATTTTTCTTATTTAATTAATGGGGAAAGTAAAAGAAAAACAAATGGCAGATTTTGAATTGTGATGTTTGCATGCTGAGAAAGCCTCTTCTTTCCTCCCAAAGGAAAAAAAAAAGAGATAGCAAAGAAGCAAAGTAGATTCATGTCCCCCATCCAAACAAAAATTGGAATGCAAGTTTCTGTAATCACTATAGGAAATATTTTCTTGGACACAGAACCTTTAGTGCTGGACTGAAGATCTTTGTTACCTTTCGAAGCAACGGCACATCCTGCTTGAAGAAGGCAATATGGAAGAGCACTGCAAAGTTGTTGAAGAAGGTGAACTAAAAGGCAAAAGGAAAGAGTTATATTAGTGTTGACTGGTTGGACCTAAAAATGGGTGAATATGCAGAAAGCAAAAGAGAGAGAGAACTCACCACTAAGATTTTGCCTGTCATGTGGTTGTCATAGGCAGACTCCTCTCTGTGATTCTCTAAGGAAAATATTAGTTTGAGTTTTTAGACAAGATAAATTATAATAGACGATCTCTTAACACCTCCTTACTAATTTGATAAATATTTGCATTAATACATTTCTTCTCCCTGATATGTTTTCTTCATGCATCTCACCATATTCCGTCAAAGACTTGGCAACTGTCCTGTAAACGGTGGCAAGCATATTTGTGTAAACAATATGGAGGACTGACGGCACGTAAAGGAAAGTCTGAGATATCATGGAGTCCCAATCTTTGTGCAGCCACTGCACCCGGGCCTCTGCCCAGTAGAAACACATCATTCCCAGAACCACCAGTCCTGCAGGATGAAATGTAACACGTATATCAGACACCTGAGGCACTTTGACTCACACTTTGGTTGTTGTTGGGTAACGTACCTAGGAACAGCCCCACCACCGGGACAGACACCAGCGCCATACGCAGGTCCCTCTTCCATTCGGGGAACAGCGGCTCCACACGACCGGTCACAGGGTTGACCCCGAGGTCGCCGTGGAAACCTGGCCGTGGCTCTGCGAAGCGTTCTGCGAGGTTCAGTGTGCCCCATTGGTACGACAGTGAGGAACTGCGGCGTTTCCACAGCTCTATGACAACTGTGGACCAGAGCATGCTGAACAAGGCCTGAAGCATGTGACCGCTGATGAGAGGCTCTGGTTCATCCTGGCCTTCCTCCTCCTGAGACCCAGAGACTGACTGCAGCATTTCCCTCTGAACCTCTCCTGCGATGGGCAGGAACGTATATATACATTATGTACATGAACATCCTGTGTTTGACTCTACTAGAGCCAAAACAAGACAATCATCATGATCCTGAAGAAAATGTTTAACTCTGGATATCTTATGACAGGCTAGGCACCAGATGTTCTTGTAATCTTATAAAGTGTCTTGATCAATAATTCTTTGACAACTATCTGTCCATCTATCTATTGATTATACTTAGCCATGTCACATAATCTGACAATTGAAAGTAAGGACTGAAAAAAATATCTAAATTTGTGTCTGGAGAAGTATGAATTTAAAAAAAAAATTGGAAGAAAAAATGTCTTACTACAATCAAAATAAGCATAATTTTGATTGTTTACATTCATCACCTTATTAAATTAAATCGGGTAGTTAAGGAAACTTAGCTACTTGATGTAGCTAAGAAAATTTAGGTACATCAAATCTATTCAGGGAAATCCGTTTCACTAAATGAAGCCATAAGGCCATCAATATAAGTCGTCAAACCTACTTGAGAAATATGCGATGAACAGGCCCAATATTGCCGGTGGAAGGAGTGACCAGGTGTAGAAATCAAGGAAGCTGAAGTAGAAGGCCACAGAACTTCCAAAATATTCATTAACTTTGTCTGGGAAAATAGACAGAAGGCGTGTGTTGCATCACCGTTACAGTTTTGTCAGCTAATCTCGTCATGTACTCCTTTGGAAGGCAGAAGATTGTTTTAAGTGTAAATTTATATTGACATACCCAGTGGCTGAGCCAGCTGATTCCCAGAGTACCAAGATTCACTAAGGTCCTTTAGCTTGCCCGGGTTGTGGAGAGGAAATGTGTCTACAATGACACCAGCTTGTCCTAGCTTCTGCCCTGCAGTAGTCCAAATGATCTGTGGTCATTTATAGGAAGGTCAGGGGAGGATAAGTAATATCTGAGAGTGTTGCATGGAATCTGAAGAGACTGCGGTAGTGATGAGGTGTTGTAGGAGTGACAGGCTATGTCACTCCTATGAGTGTCAAAATGGTGGCGAGAACACATTGTGTAAGCAGTGGTGAACGACTGGTGGAAGTTGAAGTGGACTCTACATAATGCAGACAATATTCTGATCTCTACTGAGAGAAGGAAGCAAGCAGAGAAGAGCCTGGAGAGGAGGAATCAATAAGAAACTAAACCAAATCCATCAGATGGGAGGAATGTTGAAGCTGAACCAAGTAGAGGTATTCCAGAGGATGAGTTTATGGCATCTGGCAGGCATGGAGTCAAAGCTGGTTCTTCCAAGACTGAGGCCAAATTCTTAGAGTTCAACTAATATATGTATTTCAGGACAATTACTCAACCAAAACTAAGTTTTGATGTTAATCTAGTACTTTTTATAAGCTAACAATTCAGCCACTCATTGATGCACAATCTCTAAGTTGAAGTTATCGGCTTATATTACACAATAGTATGATAAATAATAATAATAAAAAAAATAAAAGAGTAATAAAGATTTGTCATATCAGGTGTGGGGTCAAGGCTTGTATTTCCAGGACATAGACCGCACCCTGCAAGGCCAAGAGCAGGAAAAAACAGCTCAAGACTGGTCTGGAGCTTTTCAGCCCTGCTACCTGGGGCCAAACATTGAAGGCAGTTCTTAATGCAGAAGAGAGGGGAATAAGATGCATACAGGGAGGAACACGATAAATCAATTGAAGCAGGATCTGCTATAACTGATTCACGTTTTTTTCAGATTGTGGCATAGCAGAAGTTGTTAGTTTTGATTGAATTTGACAAGATTAGAAATGAGTAGACCAGATGCACAACTCAGTTTGGATTCTTTAAGAAACCAGGCCAGATAGGCAGGAGAAGGATTATGGTTTTATTGGATAAATGGTGTTCATTTGGGAGGGGAATAGAGGAAGAACGCAAGAGCACCTTATTAAGAAAACAATTTTACACAAACAGGGTTGGTGTGTTAAAATCTGGAGCACCAACAGTCTGTAGAGTTGTTCATCTCAGGAGACTTAAATCCAAGCAAACACTGGTAGAATGTCTTTTGTGTTGGAGCAAATGGGAAATGATTCAGTAGCACGTGAGTGTCTTCTTTCTCTGTGTTGATATGAAACACAATGAGGCTACTCACAGATGTTGTCTCGCTTCTGCAGTGTGCAGCTGTCGGGCATGCCGGGTATCCTCTGGTCCTTCTGGGCCCGCAGACCGTCCAGCTCGTACTTTATGATGTACTGTCGCTCAGCCAACGTTAGAAACACCTCCATGTTGTCTGTTACACATGTTATGCGATACTTAACATGTGTATCGTTACTGATGGCACAAGTAAAGCCTGGTGGCCTGCCAGGCTTATAATGCACTGGGGGAAACGCTGCTATGTATTCTACCCACTTTGTTTCTTATTTCTTTCTATGTCTTCTTTTATGTCTTGTTCTGCCCTTTATTCCCTTTAAACCCTTTATCCTTTAAGGTATTTACAGACTTCTCTTCTTTGTTCCTCTTTACAATTTGTTTCCCAGACTTCACATAAAACCCTTTTTACTGTAGAAATATTTGCCGTAAATTCATGGTGAACTTCAGTTTTTGATGTTTTGAAATGGATATTCAACAAAGGACATTCTGGAAAGTTGAGTTTGGAAACATCAAACGTATGTAGAACCATCATATGAATACACTGGTTTTCTATGTCTGAAGCAGCACTATTCTTGATGCTTTTGATGTTTACTGCCAGGTTTATTACCTCAGGTGAGTCACAAAACCTCATTGGGGGTAAGATAAAATAGATATACAAACCCTATATGCAGTTACTGCTGCCATCTCCAAATGTGGAGTAGTTGTCATAAGGTTGCGGCCTGACGATGTCTGCACATGCACAGAGATAATTCCTTGGCAGCAGCGATATGGCTGCTGCTTCCTTAAACAATGACTCACTATGTTAAACATTGGATTCCAAGAATTTGTTTAAGGCACAATTTGTCCTAATTACTTAGACTGTTAAAAATGAAACAACAAAAAATAACAGTTTTTCAGTTTCAAAGAGAGGTTTGGTACCAAAACAATATAATTCCCAGAGAACTGTTTGCTGGCCTAACACTTAATGTAGAGGTTTACTGTTAACTTTGGTCAAAGAGTAGCACAATGCAAACGTGCTGTTGAAGACGAGATCATTATCTGAATTCAGTTCTTCCAATTAAATATGTAACAATAAGCTGTAAATATAATTATTGTCTTCTGGCAACAATAAAAGACCTATGCAACGAATCAATTAAATGTGACAACTGAAAACATTAGGGATCCATTTGTTCTGTGCTACACAGTGGTCTCTTGGAGGGAAAGAAACAAGACACATTCTTTAAATATTGCTATAAAAGTATGATGTATTTTCTTTCCTCAATGAACAACATTACTTATTTGAGTCCTAACCTTAAATATAAGACACTCTACATGTTCCATCAGTATACACGTCTGTCTTATCTACCTGAATCTCTGAAGTTGTCTCTGTCGTTGTAAGCGAAGGCCTCCATTTCACCGTTGTGGTAGATCTTGCACAGACCCAGCTCCTCCGTGGTTCGCAGTAACGTACAGCGCGGCGCAGACAACGCGATGATGTTACCAGTGGCGTCCTCGCCTGGGTGAGCCAATAACCCGGCACCTGAAGCAAGTGTTTCAAAGTGAGAACCCAGCGTTAACAAGTTTATTTGTTTGACTTGTTTGCTAAATCCTGTGAGAAATCTGACGCAGACGTGACCCAGCCTGTTACTGGAACTGGAATTGATTTGCTGCAACACTGAGATGCTCATAAACATTTAATCTGCTGTATGTTTTCTTTGCTCCAGGGAGCCACTGGAAACTGAGACCTTACCTCCATCCTTCTGAGGAGCGCCGATCAGTTTGATGAGCCAGCGTTTCGTCTCGGGGACGACCTTCGGTCCGAGCTTCACCAGAACCAGCGGCTCGACCCGCTCTGAGGCACAGCAGGGGCAGCTGACTTTGGTCCATCCTGGTGTAAAGGAGGAGGCGCTCAGTTTGCTCGGCAGCTTCCCGCCCGCAGCCTCCCCACCCAACTGCAGAGCGGGTTCACCTCGACCACCAGGCACACCTTCATCATCAGCTGCCTTCCTCATGGTGAGACTGGAAGAAAACCACAACCAAAGTGAACGTTTATACCCCTGTCATTATTATTCTCCAACAAGACATCTGTGCAGCTACATCTCCACAGTCTATTTGGTCTTCATGTGCACAGATTTACAGAAGTGGAAACAAATTCAGACATGTTAAACAAATACATTTGAATTTTTACCAGCATTTCTTTCATCTCGGTGATTATCTTCACAAGAAGTAATAAAAATTTGAAGTAACGCAGATTAAAACTGAATAGTATTTTTACTACTTAGCTTTTTTTTTTTGACTCGGGGAGAAATTCAAATTATATATAATTGTTTTAAGAAGAGAAAAAACCTCCCTGTTCTATTATGCTCAACCAATCCAGGTGAAGAAGAGGCAGAAGCTATAACAGCTTCTATTTATATTCCCTAATTTCTTTGAAGGTCGAGGAATTTAAATTATTCATTTGGGTATGCAAGTTAGTAAAACCAATACAACTCCTGATATACGGTAGCTGACATAACATAAACACATTGCAGCTTGTTATGTTGATATGTTAGATGAATAAAAGGAAAGATCTTAGGCCACAAAACATTTCGTATTGTTTTCTGGTTGGAAAACAACTTTTAACAATTTTACTTCAACAGCAAAATCTTAAGTTGTTATTACTGGGTTATTACCAGTCTGCAACCATGAAAAGCTGTATTTAAACCAGTTTTGTCCTCCAAATTGTTTAAAGGTTTTTACTAGCCTCAGGTAGAAACACCTGAGAGACATCAATTAGAATTTAGGCTGCAGCAATAATATATTTGTATATTCATATAACAGTCCTAATTTCATTTGCATCAGCTGCTCTTTTATAGCGACATGCATATAGATTTGCAGGTGGCCCTGAGCTAACTTTACGTCTGCTGGTATTTTAGTCGTGGCTGCAGACACGTTCTTCAGGAAGTTGCGTGTCTTCCAGTGAAACGCGGGATGCAGATAAAACTCGTGTTGTGACGGCGCCGTAACTTTAAGACACACAGAGCAAGTGAAAGTGGTCAAACACTTCCTGCTGTCACTGAAGTGCTCCTGAACAGACTCTGTTGACACTCAGGAAGGCGGTTAGGGATGAGGAAGAGGATGAGTCAGGAAATACTACACCTAGTAGGGCGCCAATGATGATTGGGTGGTTCTGCTCTCCAGTTCTTCGTCAGGCCCTCCGTAAACTCCTGCCTGAATGCACATATACAGAAAGCGGCATGAAGACAGTAGAGACAGTAGAAACCAGAGAGAAGTTCGTCTGCAGGCTCTTACGCAGCTCCAGACAGTGCTTCCTCTCAGCTTTCTGTCAGTGTGGTGTTGATGTGTGCGGGTTTGTTGGACAGGAATGCGGAGGAACTTCTCTGGCTCTGCAGGGTGTGGACTGTTGTTTGGTTTTGTTTCAGACTCCTCCCTCCTGCCAGCTGCCGGTTTTACAGTTGCAGTAGTAGCTCAGGGTCCTACTGCCCCACAGCTGTCACTCGCTGAAATAACATCTGCAATGAGTAGATTTTTAAAAAATATATATTACTAAAAACAAAGAAAAAAAAATCTTTAAGATGTTTATGAAATGACGTATTGTCGGTCCACGACCTCTGGTGACAGGCAGCACCTGTTTTATAACATTTGAAGAGAAAATCAAAAAAGTAGTAATTTTTTCTGTAGCATTATATGCTGTGTGTTTAGGGGGTTCGTCCAGTTCAGTCTAACCAGGAGGAGGTTGATGCACCCCTCATACACCCCATGATGACATCACATGTACCAGGAGCACTGTGCTGCCACCTAGCAATGCTCTAATGGTTCCTGAGACTTAGGAGCAGCACACCAAGTTAAGTGAACCTCTGGTGTTAGAGATGAATGTGAACGTCTAAAGCAATGAAAATACCAGCTTTAACTAAAGAGAATGATGATAATGTTAATAATAAATCCTTGCAGTAATTTTAAATGAGAAAGAAAGTTATAGATAACATGGTAAACATTAATAAACATGTAAAAACATACATGGGCACCTGAATGCTAGAAGTGAGCTTTTGTTTTTGCTCCCTAATTTTTTGACCCAAAGAAATTTGATGACTTCCTGCAGGCTAACAAATTGGCATTCTCTTAATTCTCATTGTATATTTTTTATTAAAAATAATAACAAAAATAAGTAAAAACTAAATTTTGATCACACACCTCCCCCCCTCCCCCATTTATATCACAAGGTGTTTGATCCAGCCTGTCATTCGAATATGTCAATGCTTTTGACCTCTAGACCAAATCCTGTCTGATAGGTGATCTATTCTTGTCTTAGCTTTGTTTGGAGGTGATCAGTTCTTTTCCAGTAATGACCACACGTTCTCGTTTCAGTTAAAGCCTGGATTTTCCTGACCACACGTCCAGGACCTCTGTGTTCTTACATTTGGACCAGTTTTCTGCAGTTCATCTTTCTACTTCTATAGAGTTGGCTTCGTTACTGTATTTCACGTCCAAAGCTTTGAGCCTCAGCTGTGCTCTCACACCCACTTGCTGCCGAGGCTGAGCAAGCTCTGCGCTGGTGGGAATGCAGTTCAATGGCCTCCTGCTGATAAACTTAATCACGGTTCTTGCTGGACACTCTTGGATATCCTAAAGATTAATTCACTGCAGCTGAATCTCACTTTGAAGTTGTTGTCATTTTGATGCAAAGAGATGACAGCTGCACGCTTTTTCTTTGGAGTGATGTAATCGTTGTCTGGTCGTCCAGGATGTAGCTCACCTTCCACCTAAAGACCACCGGAGATGGCCAGTGGCCAAAGTCTTTTAGTGAGATTATGGCTTTTAGATAATAAAACACAAAAAATATATATTTTAAGCAGAAATATCAAAAGACTGATCATTTCTATTCTTTCTACTTGACGGGACGTCTTCTTGATCATCCTGTGGCGCTGCGTAGGTGTAATGGAAACTCAGAGTAGTTTGATCTCTGCCTTCAGGTCAACTGCATTATTGGCTCTGGTGTCTTTGTCTTGACAATAGTCCATAGTCTGTGGGGTTCAGGTCAGGCAAGTTTGATCAAGGACAGAAAAACCATGGTGATTGCACCAGCTTATGGTACCTTCGTGTGGGCAGGTGTCATGTCCTACTGCAAAATCAAGTCTGCATCTCTATACACAGCTTGTCAGCAGAGGGAAGCATGAAATGCTCTAAACTTTCCTGGTAAACCGCTGTGTTGGATTTCACATTTTGTGTCTCTTGATGCACCGACTCCAGCCTCAGCCCACTCCTTGTAAAGTTCTCCAAAATTTATGAACAGACATTTTCCAACCAGGCTTTTTCCCTCCACTCAACTTTCTATGAAAATGCTTGGACACAGAACTCTGAACAACCACCTTCTGGGACAACTGCGCAGTCAGCAGTCTTCCCCATATTTGTGTCCTGCTGGTTCGATCTGGGAGTCCAGTCACAGGTGGACACCTTCGCAGGTGTTAATTAGCAGTTTAGGGTGTGACACCAAGAGCTTTCTTTTTTTTTCAAATATTGGAGCTGCACCGGTTTATGAGAGATGATCTGTTCTTTAAATGAATCACAGGAAAGACAAGTGTCAGAAATATACAGATGTTTATTTACAAATATGTCTATCTTTGCGTAGAAATTTAAAACTCAAAGTAAACAGATTATTGGAAATTTATGCTGCATTTCTTTTAGCACAAGAAAGACAAGTGAAAATCAGAAGTTTAAGTTTTTCACATAAATAAGATTAGTATGTCTTTAAAATTAATAAACATCAAAAATACATATTTGTATATTTTGGTTCTTTGGAATATAAAGACCCAACTGTTCAGAGTTCAGAGATTAAGTAAACTCTTCAGTGAAATCTTGACATTTTTACCATCTATAAAGAAGAAAGGCAAAATGACAGTTTTGGTGACAAATCAGTTACATCTCATGCCTGTTTGCCCTCGATAAGACTTATTGCTTCACATTTTTATTGAGAAAACAAATGCAACTGTGATAACTTTGGGTTATCTGAAATAGACGCTCTTTTTATACAATCAAGCTTGTAAAGGCTGAAACTTTGCAGAAGACAGTTTTGTAAGATATTTTTGCATGTGCTATGCTTGTAAATTGAGTTACGTTTGTTCTGCTCTTAAGTCGTCTGTTCTCCTTTCTCTGCTGTGCCGAGGGAGTCGGCTGAAGATCGGCCAGCCGCCGCCAGGACGTCCTGCTGTCGAGTCAGATCGTTCAATCGTCACCCTCTGCAGGGATCCGAGGGGGTCTAATAAACAAGGAGCTTCACACTTACGTGGAACCAAAAATGCAAAATCCTGGGCACAGAACTGTAAGGCTCTTGTGCCTTAATGAAGGCTGAAAAATTCAATCTGAATTCATCACTGTGATATTGAGGTCTTCGAAGCAACCAGACAGATTCTGGGCCCAAACAAATCTTTAAACCTAACAGTGCAATACAGGATGCCATTTATTAGTATTGACTCCTGTTAACAATATTTAACTAACCTAAAATGTATTTTCGTCAAATATTTTTTATTCTGAAAACTTTAGACATTTATTTCTATGCCTAATTTGCTTTGATGGTCAATTCCAGAAATGTTTCTCATTATGATCAGAAGTCATTGGTTAACAGTTCTACCAGTTGCCACTAGATGGCAGTAGCTGCAACTGTGCAGAATTTTTGGGGTAAAAACAAAACTGTCATTACTGTGCTTGGTCTTCAATGTCCACCTTGCTTAAATATGGGAAACCTTTATTTTTCTTTTTTTTTCTCAACAAACTGAGTGTAAAATCCCTTTAACCTTTGACCCCCAGATCCCCACAGCAGGACATCCAGCAACCTGGCTTCATTCCTTCAGCTCCATCCTATGACACCTAAAAACACTCGTTAAATCCACTCACACAGAATCCATCCATCAGTGCACAGACATCAAACTCTTACAATGAAAGCATCTCTTCTTTTGTACAAAACATCTTAAAAATATATACTTTTTTTTTTTTTACATTATTGTGAAATCAAACAGGGAGAAAAACAGTGGAATTGTGCTCATTTCAAAGATCTGGAACAGCAGCTCACACTTGCAAACTGCAGTAAAACCTCAAGCCTGCTGATTCATAAATTAAAGCCCGACTGAAGTTGATCAGGGCGTATCAAAAATACGCCCTGATCAATCACAGGTTTGGTCTTGTTGCAGGGAGAGACGACCCTTCAAACTGGACAGATACTGAATTAAGCTAAGTTGGTTTAACTGGTTAGATGAATCATTGATGCTCAAAGACTTTCTCCAACAATACCCGTTGCCACGTCCACCCACCATCAAACACTTTTTTTTCCCGCTGCACTTTAACTTGTGCGAATGTTTCTTAAAAATTATTTCCACGTAATCCTGGAAGACTATTAAAGCTTTACCCCTCTTGCTCCTGACTGGCAATCTGTTCAACGTTTGCTTGATTAATATTGGCACAAAAGTGCAAAAACAATCACAGTGAGAATGGAGATCAGACTGGTTCTCACACATTCGTATGGCTGATCTGTAGAAAACAATGCGTTACAGTGAGTAGGGATGCATCGGCTGCCCCGGCATTATGGAGGCTGGAGAGGTTGTGGGGGTTACAACAGGTGGACGGGTCACTAATTAGGGAGGTTAATAAGTCCAGAGGCCCTTGAGGAGAGCCGTTCGTACGTTAGAATTTCTCGTCAGGAATGGATGTGTTGAAGGGATGATCCCAGAACGTGGTGGTGATTCCAAAACCTGCAAAGAGAAGCATCACAAGAGAGAGATCAGAAAACAGAGTGTTTAAAGAATCGTAGATATGTTTATAGAGTGAAGCAGTTGGAAGCAGTTTCTATCAAAAACAAAAGCAACATACAACTTATTTAAATGGGCCATCAGCCTGACTCATAGTCAAAGGGTTCTCAAATCCAGACCTGCAACTTTGAAATGTCTCTGCTTCAACACACCCGTGTCAAATAATGAGATCATCAGCTTTATTCTGGAGAGCTGGACCGCACATTGAGGTGATTCAGACGTGATTCAGGTGTGTTGGAGCAGACGACACCGGCCCTCATGACACCGGCCCCCATGACACCGGCCCTTTCCCTTTATACCTGCCAAAAGATCTGTCTTTTGTCTGCAACACAACATGGCAATATTCTGCCTCATTCTAAATTTTATAAAGAACGAAGATCCAATTTTTACAAAAACCTTTTGGAAGAGGAAGTAAAGTCAACACTAGATTGTACATTAAGCCATGGGGAGGCATCCCCGCCATAAAAGGCTGTTAGGACATTAGTTGCCTTTTTTACTGATATATTGTGGCAGAAATTTCAGAAATGAGTCAGGAAAATCAAGTTTGACTGGTTTTAGTCTGAAGTCAGGATGAGAAAGCTTTACAATAACCTGTGCAGATTAG